TTTATTTCTGCGCTTATTTCATGTATTAATATTGCGTTTTCATTATTGCTATGAGTTTAATTACCCAAGTTTGAGGTTTCACTCGCAATAAAGTACAATTCAACGCGCGTCTTCACATCATTCCTTTGCTACAACCAACCACATTGAAACAGGACTCAACTCTTATTTCATAATCAAAGGACCAACATTTCAACAAAAACAGAGTTGTAATCCCTCTACTGAATACCTCATAAGAATCTGTTAGAATAAAGCTAACAAAAAACTTTCACAACTAGTAGCAACAAGCAAAACGCATGGTATAAACACACCGAATTCGCAAATGACGAAACCAATAAGCCCTATGGCAATCTGTACGAAACCAAAATATGGTGGAGTATATAGCGGATGATTGATAAAATAACTGACAAATGCTGCAAACGTCCAATAGTAACCACAGTTCTGAAATATTTATATTAGGTGTCTTTAAAATATTTGTACACTTTAGTTATATGTTTGGGCTTCACGCTCGTATATCTATTTCTGAACGTGTTAATAATATGTAGAATCTAAAATGTACACCACTCCACTGCAAATTTCTTTTGTTAATACAATTGATAACTTTGCAAGAAATGAAAGACACCTTCACAAGAGGTCAAAAGACCAAAATTTTGCCTCCTCGTTAAAAATTCTTTAAAAATCGGACAGACAAAAAAATATAGCAATAACCGTACTGAAAATAGATTACTTTGAATATATTCCGTAAAGGCATTGTTGCATTGCTGAACCGATGAACAAATTGAGTTTCCAATAAACGTTTTGCATAATGAAATGTCCAACAAACCAACGCAAATTTTACTCCGTTAGACATGGAATACCGAGATGCGTCTTAAAGATTTGATATCACTTCTTTGCATGTGATTTATTTCACTCAATGATGACTTCAATGAAAAATAAGTTTGGTAAATACCGTGAGAATCACCTGGTCCATAGATTTCAATTGGCCTCAAACAGAAAATCGGATAAATCAGAAGCGGGCCAAGATATTCAAGAAGAAAAACCTAAAACAAAAAATTTATATTGAAATGAATTAAATACATATTTACAAAAAGTTAATAACACATCTTACATACCGTTTTCCATCTGATTTGTGGCCCAAGAACTCGAATATATAAGTGAGCACCTTTCGAAGGCAAATTGAGGTCTTGCACAATTAAGTCATCATTCAAATTCTTTCCTTTAGCATCTAATCGCAAAGCTATCTGATTGATTGGAAGTGAAAGCTCTAAATATTCAAATAATCATTTTGGAGCATGAAAAAATTAACTCAATAAAACTTCCAAAAAGATAAGTGAAAACTCAATTTAGTCAATATAAACTCACTTTGGGATAGACGCTTTTTGATTGCCATTACTGATTCATCACAACTGATCTAAACTAGGAAATGATCAATAAAATCTTTACCAATAATTCCATTCCATTTTCAACAACAGTATTGGAATACATTAATTTAAAACAAACATTTTCCAGGCAAGCAGTCGATCGATTAATGTTTTTAGCATCAAAAACTTCAATTGCAATTGAAGCCATTTCTGTAAAAACTACCAGAATATTAGTGAATTTCTATAAACTGAAATACACAACAAATTATACAGCTAACAAGCATGCGAGAAATAAATGAAAAAGGAAAGAGGAGAACAGCCCTCCCACCCAATGTTTAACACAATTTATACAACTGTGT